GGCGAAGATCAAGCCCATGGAGGGGAAGCGCTCGGATCCTCCGGCGTGGAACCTGAGGGGCAGGAAGATGATGATATGGGCGTGCCCGAGGCAAGCTCTATCCCCACCATGCAAGAACCGAACGAGACCGAGCTGGGTGAGATATCACGTCCTTGTGAAGGTTACGTCCGAGCACTCAATGCCCTACGCATAACCGCTGGTATGCAACCACCCAGCATGTGCCTTGCTTGCGGCAACTATGGCCACAACACCCGAAATTGCGAAGCAAATGGGGGGTACAACGCTCTGGTGGTGAACGAAGCATTCAGCATCATTGGGAAAAGCCTGGCTAAGATGCACAAGTCAAGCAGTACGCCACCAACTGAGATCTTCCAAAGATGGGCAGAGAAGAATTTGCAAGATGCCGCTCGCGCTCCGCAAGTACCAGGAACCGCTTCGGATACTCCGGGTGGGGATGGGGAAAGCGTTGAGCCTGGAGCTGCAGCGTCTTCGGAGGATTCCAGAGGCCCGCTGCCAAGACGGCGTCAAGCATCAATCTCAGTTGAGGATCCTACAGTGGTCGTGATCGAAGTCGATGAAGAACCAGAAGAAACTGCGACAAGAACGCTTCGACCCAAACGCAGGCCCCAACCGAGACCTGATCTTCCAGAGCCCAAAGCTGCGCCAGCTCCTAGGCGGTGGATTGCGAACAACGCCGGCAATGCTCGTTCATTCGTCGAGATTCGCTACCACGAGCCGAAGTCTTGCCTTGACATCATCAAGTCCATCGAGGACGTATCGTGGGTCGGCGGGCAGAGCATCTACGAGATCGGATTACAATCGCAGGATGCAACGCGCCGATTGATTGAGCAGGAGGTTGGAGGAGACGTTGCAACACACCCTCTCCGAAGCGACATCGATGAGTATCCTTCCTCGAACGTGGGGTACGTGAACATCGGCAAGATGGTCATCGGAGGGGACCTCCGGCTCCTACCCATCAAGGGTGCAAGGTTCGCTCACAGGCACTTTTCGGCCCTGGTTCCCGCGACATCCTCCAATGACAACCATCGCAATCGGGATTATCATCGCAGGATCAAATCCCTGGGCTATGATGTGCAACGTTTGCTTAGGCACCGCCTAGCAAACAGAGAAACGAACTACATGCACAATCAGCTCCCGACAATCCCGTGCGACACCGGAGGGTGGGTGATGCTCAAAGACTTCATCCACTTGGAGAACTTCTGGCAAAGCGGGAGGTATTACGCAAGGAGTTCAGCTCGAGACGACAACTCGGAGTATCAGAGAAGAATTCAAATGCTGATCGACTATGCGTACTACGAGTACCGCACCAATGGGAGAATTAGACTCCAATTCCTGGGCATCAAGATCGTGGCGCCCAAACCTGGACAAAGAGCATCTGATACGCCGTGGGACGGCACTCCGGGCGTCGGCGCAACCCAGCGTGCCCAACTTGAAGAACTCGGAGGGCACAGGTTGACGCATGACATCACGTCCGGTACCCTACGCCGGTGCGACAATTGGGTGCAGCCGTGGGCGATCAGGGCCACAAGTGGACACTCCAGCAACTCCAATTCACTGGTGCGGGTGAATGACGACAGGGTCGCATGTCACTTGACTACAAGCTTGGTCAACCAGATTGGTGGGGGGTATCACACCACGGCCCCAGAGCTTCTCGCCAACATCGTGGCGAAAGGACTTCTTCCAGGTGGAGGGGCGTCAGGCGGTCGAGTCCACAGCCATTTCGGGACGTTCCCGCCATGGGATCCGAGAAATCAGACGGTGAGAACAAGGATTCCCGGAAGGCCGAGGTCACCAATTGCAGTATTGTACGTTCCAGCCTATGAACTCATGCGCTACAACGCAGTGATCACGATCAATGGAATGTTTCTCGTCCAGCGGCAAATTCCATTCGAGGCCGTCAAGCACGTTTGGATCTGCATGCCAAGCCAAGGAAGGTACTTCGAGTTCAGCGAAGTCTTCAAGGTGTACTCCAAAGAGCTGTCCAAGGAGATGGTCGAAGGGTACGGGGACGCACGCATCAATCCAGATCGTGAACCACCAAAACCTTCGGTGGAAGACCTCGTCAGCACCATGGAAGGCACCGACGCTGGCCCGCATGAAGGCGAGAGGCGCGAGATCTTGCAAGCAATTGAGCAGGCGGGCGACACCGTTCCTGGAAACATCATCAAGCGTGCTTTCCAGTTTCTCTCAAGGACATTCCGGCGAGTGACGACTCACACCACCACAAGCGATCCGCTGATCTTGAGGGTTTGCCCCTGCTGCGGCAGGCATACCCCTGCGAGCTTCGCAATTTGCCTCACGTGTGGGAGAGTTTTCCTGTCCATGGGGAGGATCCAACATGTGCGTGCCAATCCGGAACCCGAAAGGATTGATCCGGAAGTGGTCCGCCAGGCACTCAACCAGGCCGCTGCCGTCGTCAACAACGAGGTTGTGGAGATTGAAGTGGAAGATGAGCCACCATCAGAACCTGTTCAGGAGGATGCGCTTCCGCTCCGCGGAGTGCAGAATCCAGCAGGGGATGTGGAGGCAAATAGTCCACGGGAAAGCGTGGCGGAGCCTGAGGCCGAGGAGATCCCCGACGAGATTCGCGACATGTACCGCGATGTGGAGATGGAGGCTCCCAACCAAGAAGAGGTGGAGATGGATGCGCAGAATCAGCGAGCATTCGTGCTGGTAGGAGACAGGGAAGGCGATTCGTTGGACGATCGGAGCGAGAGGAAAGCTCGCCTTGCGCTGGAGTGCAATGTCAACATTGACACCGACTACGCAGCATGCGTGGACCACAACTTCAGGTTGTACTGTCACCTCGACGCCTTCTTCGCGTACGTGCTGGTCCATAAATGGAATCTGTTTGAGAAAATCATCATGACTCCATACAAGAAGATGAAGGACCAGTTCGCCTCAGGCATGAGACACGACGCGTCTGGGACATGGCCTATTGTCCCTATCGATGAGGACACGGCGTTGCCGAGAGACCTCATGGAAGACGAGGTAAGGCAGTATGCCAGCTCTGTGGAGAACCAGCAGTTCATGATTGAGCGTTATTACGCCAACAAGTTCGTCTTCTACGTCATGCGTGGGGCGATCCAGCTGGGATACAACAAGGAGAGCTTCAACCTCCCCATGATTCCGGATGAGGCCGAGGACCCGAAAGCATTTGCTGAAGCCGGGCAAAGGGTCCACATGTTCATGGCCAAAATCATCTATCAGGTGCTGAACGTGAGGCTTTATTCCTACACGAAACCCAACGCTGAGATCCCGTACCACGCGGCATTCAAATACATCAACCCGATCCAGCTGCTCAGTTTGATGGACTCGCAGAAGGTGAGCGTTAACAACCTTCTGGTGATGAGGGATTCGGGGTGCGCTTTACCCAACCAGTACAGCAAGAAGCTGGACAGATGGTTGAGTGATCAAAAGAAGGACATGAGCATCCTGAAGTTGAAGCCCACACAGTATTTGGAGAATCCAAAGGCGTCGGCTTTGTACCTTGCCTATGACCCTTCAGCATCCGCACCTTCGGTTACTTCGTCGGGAGGATCTCGTCATCCTGAAGCAGACGAGACGGACATGCCGGCACGTGCGAAGGCCCGCATGAGTCAGCCGAAGCCCAAGACTTCTCATCCTGGGACACCTCAAGCTGCTCCCAAAGATCCTCGCGGTCATTCGAGAAAGGGATCGGGAAAGAAAGGGTGAATGATGCACTCGGATCCTCCGGTATGTCATCCCCTGGAATCCATGGTATTCCTGAAATCTGGTTGTGGCTCAGCATTTTGCGTTCTCAGTTTTGATTCCTCTTTTCCCTATGGATGCAACAGATAATACGATGGAGTACGTCATTATATCCACCGATGCTATTTCTCTTTTTGGCCACTGCATAGCAGCAGCGGGGCAATGTGCCAATGCGCTCGCTGGAGGGAAATGTGCGATTCTTCGCAGCTCGTGTGGTAGCCGAGTGGGTATGGGTTATGCTCTGCTAACTTGGCCGATGCTACTGCTTCTCAGTCATGCATTCTGGAGACGCAATGTGATGGATCAGCAATTTGCTGACATGTTTTCAGGGCCTTTCGCGCCCATGATTCCGCAACCGTGAGCAGCAAGTCTTTGTACAGATAAAGGATGGGATTGAACGCTTCAGTAGCTGAGAGTCTGTCTCACATCTATCAATTCGGGCAAAGAGAGCAAAACAGTGGAGAACGGCCAGACTTTAAGTCGCTTTTAACTGGGACCATTGTATGTTCGTGACGCAAGTTCGTCTAGCATTTTTTGCAAATCCCAGCCGTGGGGGGTGTGAATGATCCCCGAACCACAGCACATTTTGGGGACCCCTTTGTGTCGGCTCCGCCGCACATCGGGGAAACCACTTTAGAACGCCGTGGCCTGTTCACCACAATTGGCTCAAGTAACCTTTAGAGTGAAGGTCACCCATAGGTTAGAAGTAAGCGCAATAGCGTAACTGGAAACCGCCCGGGTGCACGAGACGGAGACTGAAGGCGAACATCAGTGCAGAAAACAAGTGCGAGACCATTTGGCTGGTGAGGGGCCAAAGCGTAGTGCAAGCAACTACCCGACCTCACGCACTAAACCCTAAACCCTAAACCCTAAACCCTAAAATCACTCAACCCGAAACCTGTCAAACCCCAAACCCTCAACCCAAAAGCTTCTCTGCGCTCCCCCAAAATGCCGTTGTGGCTCTCCCAAAGTCTCTAGGCCCCCCCAGGCCTCAGCCCTACAAAGCCCTAAGCCCTAAGTCCTTGAAACTCCTAAACATAACCCTGAACCCTAAACCCTAGTCCCCAAACCCGAAAACCCTGAACCCCTGAACCCAGCCTTTCCTAAAGCCCCAAAAGCCCCTAAAGCCCTAAGCCCCGGTTTAGGTTTTAGGGTTTAGGGTTTAGGGTTCTAAAACCCTAAAGCCCCAAACAGCCCTAAAGCCCCCAACGCCTACGCGGCGCGGCATGCATGGCCAAAGTCCAGCCATGACGCAAGAGGCCGATGACTTCGGAGGTTGAGGGCTTCCGGCTTCTTATTTCGGGTTTAGGGGTTGAGGTTAATTAGAGAGGTTTAGGGGTTTAGGGTTTAGGGTTGTTTATGTTTTCTTATTTCGGGTTTAGCTATAGTAAGGATTATGGCATTTTGGGGGTATATTCAGGGAACTCTACTTTCGGACCCCTTAAAACCCTAAACGTGGGCACCAAGTTTAGCTTCAAACGCTAGGCCTGTAGCACCTTAGACTGTATAAGGGCAGTGTCATTGGCCCATAAGTCCGAAGCCTAAAACCCCAAACCAAAATGCTTTGCAGCAATAATCCCTAAACCCAAAGTCGATCACCCTCAGCCCGCACCCTCAGCTCCAATGACAGTACTGCACGAAGCCCTAAGACCCCTAAACTTAAACCTGAAGTCAGGGCGGATCTAAGACCTGCGACCTCGATGGTGCAAGCGGACTCAGGTAGCTCGCCTGTTTCCCACTCGAAGGTCAGTGGCGGTGGGCCCTTCTCGGGACCAGTGCTGGGGTAGCGGGGCCCTGAAATTCCCTGATTCTCTGGGAACCCTGGGACTCACCCTGACCCTAAACCCTAAACCCTAAACCCTAAACCCTAAACCCTAAACCCTAAACCCTAAACCCTAAACCCTAAACCCTAAACCCTGAACCCTAAACCCTAAACCCTAAACCCTAAACCCTAAACCCTAAACCCTAAACCCTAAACCCTAAACCCTGAACCCTGAACCCTAAACCCTAAACCCTAAACCCTAAACCCTATTGGGATCACCCTCAACCCCAGATGGGTCCCGGACAGCTTTGCCGCCTTAGGCTTATTCTGCATTTTAACCCTCACAGTGTCTGCTCCACATTGCAGCAAACCCTAAACTCTAAACCGCAAACCCTAAACCCTAAAACCTAAACCCTAAACCCTAAACCCTCAACCCTCAACCCTAAACCCTAAACTCTAAACCCCAAAGCCTTAAGCCTGAAGTGCAATCTGGTGAACTGAGAGGCTCCCCTGCCCCCCTGGCGCCGCGCGCCACAACTACCCGTTCCAGGACCACAAGGCAGGAGAATCCCTCCCAAGAGAAAAACCCTAAACCCTATACCCTAAACCCTAAACCTAATCCCTAAACCCTAAACCTAAACCCGAAACCCTGCAACACGCCCTTCAGTTTTGGGTTTAGGGATCCTGCAATTCCTCGACTCCCTCCCAGCGCGAACTTCGGAACCTTAAGCTGAGAAGCCACCATGTGGTGCCGCCTCAAACACCGCGGAACACCTTTTTTGAGGGTCCAACCAGAGTTTCCGAAACCTAAGCCCTTCATAAGCCCGAAACCCTAAACCCGAATCCCAAAGCACAACACCCTCTGAGTTGGAAGCTTTTGCAATCTCGGGTTGGGTTGGGGGGGGGCATCTCAACACTATCGCGGATCCTCGCGTGCTTGAGCCTGGAATCCTCGTGCCCTCAACCTGACTTCACACTTACTTAACCTCTATCGCCTGCCCACAGCCCGAACAGCAAGCCCTCCCCTAAACCCGAAACCCTAAATGCTAAACCCTAAACCCGAAATCCTATATACATCCTAAACCCTGAACCCTAAAACCCTAAACCCCTACACCACGGTCTGCCAGACCAGAAACCCCAAGCCCCTCGCAAACCTTCCAGCACTCCACTTCGAAAGCACAAACCTGCGTTGAGGCTTTAGGGTTTAGAATCGTTCCCCCTTATACTAACAGTCCTTAATTGGGATTCTCCTAGGCCCCTTTTATAGTCCCTATTCAGGACAGTAAGTACAAGAAGGAACACAGGGTGTTGGGGTTTAGGGTTTAGGGTTTAGGGTTTCAGAAAATTCGGACGATGCCATGAAGAGGACACCTAACGCGGCCGGCCCCTCTGTGCGAGGGCATTGCCAAGCCGTCTGCAGCCAGCGCCGAGGCTTTGGGGGTTTGGGGCTTGGGGTTTAGGGTTTAGGGTTGAGGGTTTAGGGTTTAGGGTTTGGGGCTTTTCGTTTGTCACTTAGGCTTGTCCCAGTTGAGTTTTGGGTTGGTTTTAGGGTTGAAGGTCTGAAACCCCGAATACCCCTAAGCCCCTAATACCCCTAAGCCCCGAAGCCCTGAAGCCCCTAAGCGCCTAAACCCCTCAACCCCTAACTAAAACCCTAAGCCCCTAAGCCCCTAAAGCCCCTGCGCCCCCAAGCCCCTAAGCCCCTAGACCCCAAAAACCCCCAAACCCCTAAACCCCTAAGCTCCTAAACCCCTAAGCCCCTAACTAACCCCTGATACCCCAAAGCCCCTTAAACCCTGCACCCTAAGCCCCTACTTAAAGCCCTAAACCCCTCAACCCCTAACCCCCTCAGCCCCGAAGCCCCTACAGCCCCCAAATCCCTAAACCCCCAAGCCCCTAAGCCCCTAAAACCCTTAACCCTTAATTAGCTAACCCCTAAACCCCCAAACCCCCAAAACCCCTAAAACCCCTAAGCCCCGAAACTCCTAAGCCTAGCTCCCCAAAGCCCCTAATCCCCTAAAGCCCCTAAAGACCCCAGGGCCCCCTAAACACCTAGACCCCTACGCCCCCTAACCAACCCCCAAAACCCAAACCCTAAACCCAAAACCCCAAACCCTAAACCCCAAACCCCAAACCCCAAACCCCAAACCCTAAACCCTAAACCCTAAACCCTAAACCCTAAACCTTAAACCCTAAACCCTAAACCCTAAACCCTGGACCCTACTTTTTCTCTTTAAAACCCTCAACTTCCCGAGGGCGCGCTTCTGGCAGTGCCCACGGCCGCGCGGGGCGGACACCCGGAGCATCGAACTGCAGGCCGGAGGAGGGGGGGGTTCAGGGTTTAGGGTTTAGGGTTTAGGGTTTAGGGTTTAGGGTTTAGGGTTTAGGGTTCAGGGTTTCGGGTTTAGGGTTTAGGGTTCAGGGTTCAGGGTTTGGGGTTTAGGGTTCAGGGTTTAGGCGTTGAGGGCTTAGGACGAACGAAATGCGAGTGAAATGCATGGAAGCAGGCTACGGAAACGAGGGGTTGAGCCCCCAAAAGCCCTCGAAGGAGTTGGTTTCAGTGGCGCAGCGCTGTCGGCGACTAGGGCTCAAGATCTCACACGGCGCAGGGCAGCCACTCTTGTTCTAGGATGCCCAGTAGTGACCTTATTCCCTTTTTTTGGGGGGGGAGGGGGGGTTAGGTTCCCTTATAAACCCCTTTAAGCAAAAAGGGTACCCTTTTTAATCCTGGGTTACTGAGCATCCTAGTGTTAGGTCTGCTGCTACGGGAAACCGTTCCTAAATCCCAAAACCTAGAAACCACAAATGCCTAAACCCAGCACTTTGAGATCCCAAATCCCGAAACCCCTAGACCCTGAAACCCATCCCTTCAACCCGAAACTTTACAAGACCCCAGTTCCCAGAGACAAATCCTAAGCCCAAAAAAGGGAAGTTACATGGTCTCTCAATGTGGTCCCTTTGGTGGGCCCTTCTTGCGGGGAATATAACAAGGGGTATTGATCCCCAAGAAAAGGCCCATGTCAAGGGACCATGTGACTACCCCTAAGCCCTAAACCCTAAACCCTAAACCAAACCCCAAACCCTAAACCCTAAACCCTAAACCCTAAACCCTAAACCCTAAACCCTAAACCCTAAACCCTAAACACTAAACACTAAACCCTAATCCCTAAACCCTAAGCCCTACCCTCAGATGAGCTCCAAAGCCTCCAACGGCAGGCAGCTGCACAGTAGGGGAGCATGCCGAAGCCATCCTCGACAGGCAGGGGTTTAGGGTTTAGGGTTTAGGGTTTAGGGTTTAGGGTTCAGGGTTCAGGGTTTAGGGTTTGGGGTTCAGGGTACCATAAACCCTATGAATACGATGTAAGCCCACGCAGCACTAACAACCCTAACCCCGTAAGCGGCTAAACCCTTAAAGCCCTAAAACCCTAAACTACTAAACCCTAATGCCCTAAATTACCCCCAAAAACTAGCGCCATAAATTCCTAAACCCTGACACCCTAAATTCCTAAGCCCTGAACCCAAATGAAACTACCAAAATGCCTGCCTGACACCCGAAATTCCTATGCCCTAACACCCTAGATTCCTAAATCCACTCAGGTCCTAAACCCCAAAACCCAAAACCCAAAACCCAAAACCCAAAACCTAAACCCTAAACCCTAAACCCTAAACCCTAAACCCTAAACCCTAAACCCTAAACCCTAAACCCTAAACCCTAAACCCTAAACCCTAAACCTTTGAGGCGCTTGCTCGAGCGAGTTCTGGCCCAGGTCCGCGCCGTGGATCTCGGCGAAGCCGCCCTCTCCCGGGACCGGACCCGAGCCCAGGTCCCTCCACCTCAAGGGAGGGTTTAGGGTTTAGGGTTTAGGGTTTAGGGTTTGGGGTTTAGGGTTTAGGGTTTGGGGCTTGGGGTTTGGGGTTTGGGGTTTGGGGGTTAGGGTTTAGGGTTTAGGGTTTGGGGTTTGGGGTTTGGGGTTTGGGGTTTGGGGTTTGGTTTAGGGTTTGGGGTTTAGGGTTTATTTAGGGTTTGGGGTTTAGGGTTTGGGGTTTAGGGTTTAGGGTTTGGGGTTTGGGGTTTAGGGTTTAGGGTTTGGGGTTTAGGCTTTAGGGTTTGGGGTTTAGGGTTTGGGGTTTAGGGTTTAGGGTTTGGGGTTTAGGGTTTAGGGTTTGGGGTTTAGGGTTTAGGGTTTGGGGTTTAGGGTTTATTTAGGGTTTGGGGTTTAGGGTTTGGGGTTTAGGGTTTGGGGTTTAGGGTTTCGGGTTTAGGGTTTAGGGTTTCGGGTTTGGGGTTTCGGGTTTATGGTTTAGGGTTCAGGGTTGAGAGGGGGTTTGGGGGTTGGGGGGTTTTGGGGTTTGGTTGTTTGGGGTTTGGGCTTGGGGTTTGGGATTTGGGGGTTTGGGGTTCGGGGGGTGGTTTAGGAATCAGCGGTGTGGGCGGTGTAGGGGTTTAGGGGTTTGTAGGGTTTAGGGCAAGTTTAGGGTTTTTGGTTTAGGGACCCAAGCCCTTTTATCCGACTGCCTAAGGGGCTTTATGGTTGAGCCTGTGGGGTTTGAGGCACACTGATGCCCAAGATAAGAATTTCCAAAAAGGGGCTACTCAGGGTATCTTGACCCAAAGCCCTAAATGCTAAACCCTAAACCCTAAACCCTAAACCCTAAACCCTAGACCCTAAACCCTAAACCCTAAACCCTAAACCCTAAACCCTAAACCCTAAACCCTAAATCCCCAAACCCTAAAACCCTGAACCGTAAACACCACACCCTCCAAAGCTTTGGACCCTCAGCTCCCGGAGTTGGCCTCCCGGGCGAGGTATCTCGAGATGGTAAACGCCAACCCCCGCGACGACCGCAGCTCGGGTGCGTGACGTAGGGTTTAGGGTTTAGGGTTTAGGGTTTAGGGTTTAGGGTTTAGGGTTTAGGGTCTCGGGTTTCGGGTTTCGGGTTTCGGGTTTATGGCTAATGATGCCTTGAGGACCCTTTTCGCCCCTTTTTTTGGGTTCCAGGCTCCCTTATGAAGTAGCCAACGCCCGAAAAGGGTACGCGCATTTTGATGTGGTTCTTGGGCTGCCAAGCTTCTGCTTCGGGATGTATCGGGTCCTAGGGTTTAGGGTTTAGGGTTTAGGGTTTGTGTTGGGGATTTGAGGATTTATTTGGGGAGTAGAGGTTTGGGGCTTAGAGCCCACAGGGTCCATAGGGTTTTGGGATGTTGGAGGTTTAGGGAGTAGAGGTGTTTTGGGACTTCGTCTTTGGGGTGCGGAGGTTAAGGAAAGGGCATTTGACCTACTGAAGCCCGAAACTCTAAGCCCTGAACCTGAAGCCGCACCCTACACCCTAAACCCTAAACCCTAAACCCTAAACCCTAAACCCTGAACCCTAAACCCTGAACCCTAAACCCTAAACCCTAAACCCTAAGCCCTAAACCCCAAACCCCAAACCGCAAACTCCAGTCCCAGGCCTCGAGTTCGATGCTGCCTCGCACACCTACTTCCTGGAGGGGCCGCATGGCTGCCCTGGGAGTCCGAGGGTTCCTCAGCCCGATAGGGGGTTTAGGGTTTAGGGTTTAGGGTTTAGGGTTCAGGGTTTAGGGTTTAGGGTTTAGGGTTTGGGGTTTGGGGTTTGGGGTTTGGGGTTTAGGGGCTGTTAAGGACTGCTAGCATAAGGGGGACATCCGAATGCATAGGGGCTAAGGGGTTTCGGGATTTAGGGCTTAGAGGAGGTTGAAGTTGCAGCAAGAAACCCGAAAGCCCCAAAGAACAAGTTGAACTCGAGAGCCCGTCTTTAGACCTCATACTTGTTACGTTCCCCCTTATACTAACAGCCCTTAAGGGGGATAAAGGAAACCCCTATTATATTCCTTATTAAGGACTGCTAGTAGCCCTAAACCCTAAACCCTAAGCCCTAAGCCCTAAACCCTAAACCCTAAACCCTAAGCCCTAAGCCCTAAGCCCTAAGCCCTAAGCCCTAAACCCTCAACCCTGATGGGAACATCCCAACCTCATAACTCCGAGCTCCGAGTTTCCAAGGCGAGCGCTCAGCGGTTCGGCGTGGCACCCGGCGAGCACAAGGGTCTTGAGGGTTAAGGGCCTAGGAAGCTTGGGGAGGTTAGTTGAGTTTAGGGTTGCCCTAAACCCTACACCCTAAACCCTAGACCCTAAACCCTAAACCCTAAACCCTAAACCCAAAACCCAAAACCCTGAACCCTAAACCGCTAAACCCTAAACCCCCAGGGTGTCGAAGTTCACTTTTCTTGGGGGGTTGCTGAGTTCAGGTCACCTTTGTGGCCTCCTCCATGTCCGAAGACTTTGACGGCCGCGCGGTGGTCCAGGACCGCCCCAAGGGATGATAAGGGTTTGGGGTTTGGGTTTAGGGTTTAGGGTTTTGGGCTTAGGGTTTAGGGTTTAGGGTTTAGGGTTTAGGGTTTAGGGTTTAGGGTTTAGGGTTTAGGGTTTAGGGTTTAGGGTTAGAGCGATTCAGGGCGCACTTCTGGTGTGTGGGGATTGGGGCATTTAGGGCTTGGGACTGGGGATTCAGCTCTCGGGCTTCATGTCGTGGTTCAGGGTTTAGGGTTTAGGGTTTAGGGTTTAGGGTTTAGGGTTTACTTAGTAGCTGAGTGAGCACACTTTACACTTTTTGGGATACTATAACCCCCTATAGAACTGAAAGTGTACACATTTTGGGGGTCTTAATGAACTCAGCAACTAGGTTTAGGGTTGAGGGTTTGTAGGTTTCAGGGCTTGGGCGGATCAGGGGTTCAACATGCACTAAGCCCTCAATCCTAAACCCTAAGCCCTACACCCACAACCCTAAATCCTAAACCCAAGCCCTAAACCCTAAGCCCTAAACCCTAAACCCTAAACCCTGAGCCCTGAACCCTGAACCCTATCAACCCAACTCGCAACAGCTCAAGGTCGAAAGAAGCTTTAAAGCTTATAATTACCCTCCAGCCTGACCCTTATAACCCATAAACCTCCAAACCTCCAAAGCGTCGTAGGGTTTCGGGTTTAGGGTTTGGGGTTTGGGGTTTAGGGCCACAACCCTGAAGCCCTGAAACTCTCGGGCCTCTTAGCTTACGCCCTCTGCTTTGGGGTGTTGAAGAATCATAGTGTTGAGACCCCACGCCCACCGCTACTCTGCGAAAAGGCGATGCGAAATGGCCGCAGTCAGGTTGCGCGCTCAGCCTCTGAAATTTTGACCAGGGGGTGCACCTATTTTCCCGTGAGGGTTTTGGGTTTAGGGGTGTAGGCTGTAGGGTTTCGGGCTTAGGCGTACTTTGAAGCGGGTCGCTTGCGGCCTGCTTGGCCAAAAAGAGGGGAGGGTCGGACGGTTTCGGACCCTCAGCCCCTCAACCCTCAACCTGTGAACCCTCAACCCCCTAAACCTGAAACCCCTAAACGAATCCCTACTTCAGTCCTGAAGCCGAACGCCCTAAGCCTAAACCCCTAAACCCTCAACCCTAAATCCTAAACCCCTCAACCCCTAAACCCTAACCCCTAAACCCCAAACCCTAAACCCCTAAGACCTAAACCCCAAAACCTCTAAAATAAACTCGAAGTAAAACCTAAAAAGCTCTGCAGGCCTGGCCCCGGCTCCGCGACTTGGTGGCGTTTAGGGTTTAGGGTTTAGGGTTCAGGGTTCAGGGTTCAGGGTTCAGGGTTTAGGGTTTAGGGTTTAGGGTTTAGGTTTTAGGGTTTAGGGTTTAGGGTTTAGGGCCCGTTTCATCCTTTCACCGGTGGCCCAGCGGCGCCAACCCTTCTTGTAATATGGTCACTGGGCTACCAAGAACCATGCACCCTAAACCCTAAACCCTAAACCCTAAACCACCTAAACCCTAAACCCTAAACCTTAAACCCTAAACCCTAAACCCTAAACCCTAAACCCTAAACCCTAAACCCTAAACCCTAAACGCTACACCCCCAAAAGGGAGGTATATTGCTTTGCTGGGCCACCAAGGCTACACGCTGGGCGCCCAACCCGCGGACCTCGGGGCGCTGGCGCCAGCGTCGCCGGCCGAGCCATTTTCTCATGGGATTCTTAGGGTTCTTGGGGTTTAGGGTTTAGGGTTTCAGGATTTAGGGTTTTAGGGTTTAGGGTTTACGGTGGCAGGGTTTAGGGGTTTAGGGTTCTTGGGTTTTAGGTGCATTTCTTACGCGCATGGTTTTGTTCTAGGTTAAGGCTTTTGCTATGCTTTGCTTATCGCTTGTTGGGGGCTTTGTACGGTTTGTTTACGGCTCAGTTCTTATTTAGTTTATTTTTTAGGTTTCGTGAGCTCTTTTCGGGGTTTTCAGTTTAAGAGCTGGGAACTGCAAAGTCTTATGACAAACAGGCCGTAGGTCTTCGCCAGTACACCTGAAGCTATGAACGCACCCACAGCAAATTTCCCTAAACCGCCAACCCCGAACCGTCAAAGCCCGCACATCCGCAACCCTAAACGCTCGTTTGTTCTGCTGTAGTTTACCCTAAACTCTAAGCTCTAAGCCCTCAACCCTAAACCCTAAACCCGAAACCCTAAACCCTTAACAATCAACCCTGAACAAGCTTCAACCGCTGTCCAGGCCCAGTCTCTATGGGCTGCTACTCGAAGAGAGGCCAGCGCGTGTGTTCCATTTGCTTGTTGGCTTCTGGCCCTAAACCCTAAACCCTAAACCCTTAACCCTTAACCCTTAACCCTTAACCCTTAACCCTAAACCCTAAACCCCAAACCCCAAAACCCAAAACCTGAAACCTACATGTATGGGCATTTCGGGCTTTGCAGGCTTGGTCCGGCTTGGTCTCCGCAAGCCCGCACCGCCAACGGGACCGCTTAAGCCCTTGTATCCTCAAGCCCCCTTCAGCCCTTGGTTTATGGTTTAGGGTTTAGGGTTTTAGGGCTTGTAGGTTGGGAGTTCCCCCTTTTACGAACGGTCCTCAATAGGGATTATAAGGGGGGGATGGGGGTACTATCATTCCTATTAAAGAATGTTCGTAGAAGGGGGAACCTCCCAACCTCAAGCCCGGGGCTTTTTCGGGCTTCGGGGTTCGAAGGATTTCGGGTTGTAAGAGTTTAGGGTTTAGGATTCGAAGCCCTAAGCCCTCATTGCAGCAAGCCTTAAACCCTACGGCGTAGCTTGGGTTTGGGGGTACTATACTTTAATACATGTTTTGGTTCTGGGTTCCTATTATCGCTACTTAGACCCAAAAAGAAAAACTTTTTCTCCAGGGCCTACTCCAAAGTAGGGAAGCTTACTTGGGATTCTGGTATTCCAGGCCTTCCCAGAGAACGCGCGCAGCGATGTCTCCAGATGAGGCGACTCGCTGGCGTGTTTCAAGCCGAAGAGGTCCCGGTTTAGGGTTTAGGGTTTGGGGTTTGGGGTTCAGGGTTTAGGGCAGAAGCCGAAAGCCTTTGCTCTAAACCCGAAACCCCCGATCTAAACCCTACACACTTAACCCGGGCGTGGCGAGTTGATATGACTGCGGGGTGATGGGAATCTTGGTTTACGCGTGTTTCATTCGTATCTCATGCATTTCTAGTTTAGACAGGTTTAGGGCATTCCTTGGGGTTCATATGTATTGCGCGAAGAGTTCACATTTTTTGCCCGCCTGCTCCCAGGCTTTAGGGTTGTGCGACTCCTGGACTGTGAGTCTCCGTAGACACTTTGAATTCATGGTCTGAACTCTTCACCGCCCTAACCCTAAACCCTAAACCCTCTCAACTCCCTTAAGCCCCTAAGACTCTAAGCCCAGTCATGCTCTGTCCCAGGTCGTGGCTCTCTTCACGCACTGCAGCGCCTCCACCGCAAAATTGGAGCGAAGCCTTTACTAAAGGGCTTCGGGGTTTGCGATTTGGGGTGCAGGGCGTAGGACTTTGCGGCTCAATCAGTGTTCAGCGTGGATGTAATCGTTTGGGGAGTTTCCGACCTCTTGGCAAGTTGGTGGAGTTTTCGGAGGGATCCTAAGGGCATTGGAGCGCAGGCATGTACAGAAAGAATCCCTAGATCCCGCCCTAAAGACCTCAAACCTCAAACCTCAAACCGGCGAATCACCCGACAGCCCACATGAGCCACAAGAGTTTAAGGTTCGGGTTGAGGGTTTAGGGGCCCAAAACGCTGGCCTGAGGCGGCGATGTCGCACGCTGGCGACTGGCTCTCCAGGCGTGTGTTGGGCTCGGGGTTTTGTTCGGTGTAGGAGTCGGGCTGTGGGCAGCCCCAAACCCTAAACCCCCAACCCTAAACCCTTTTTGGGTCAGAGGATCCCTTATGACTGTAGCCAGCTCCCAAAAGGGTACCACTGGGCTACCAACGTTTTGGGTTCAGGGTTCCCTATTCTGGGGCTCATTGCGTGCGGTCTAGAGCTCTACTATAGGGTTCTTTCAAGTCACGGCTCAGTTCTAAGACGAGCCATGCCAGGCCCGTTTTTTTTTGTTGATGGGAAGTTTGCAGTGGAGGGCTTACGGCCCCTGCGCGGTAAGCCCAACTGTAGCATCTTCACTTCCCTAGACCCCTAAAACCCCTAAACTGAGCCCTAAATCTCTCAACTTCAACCTCCAGAACTAATCGTTCGGACAGCAGCATATTTCAACAGCACACCTGCCGTGTATTCAGCATGCCCTCCAGGACTCTCCGCCCTCGACCCTAAACCCTAAACCCTAAACCCTAAACCCTAAACCCTAAACCCTAAACCCTAAACCCTAAACCCTAAACCCTAAACCCTAAACCCTAAACCCTAAACCCTAAACCCTAAACCCTAAACCCTAAACCCTAAACCCTAAACCCTAAACCCTAAACCCTAAACCCTAAACCCTAAACCCTAAACCCTAAACCCTAAACCCTAAACAGGAAGAGCTCCTGAACCGGGCGTGCATGACCTTCGGCCCTGGGCCGTCCATGAGCATAGGCTGGAGAAGGGTTTAGGGTTTGGGGTTTAGGTTTAGGAGGCCGGGACAGTAGGGCTTTGGCGTGTTTCGGGGGTTTCGGATCTGGTTTTCAGCCGTTTAGGACTCAACCAAGGAAGAAAGGGGGTTTTGGGTTTTGGGGTTTACCCATCATCTATACAGACGGGACACCCTTTCTCTCAATTCCTAGGTTCCTGGGCAGACTTTCTTGCCTTGGCTTGAAACTGCTGAAAGTCCGGCCGGCACGAAGCCCTAAGCCCTAAACCCTAAACCCTAAACGCTAAACCCTAAACCCTAAACCTTAAACCCTAAACCCTCAACCTTGCGTGGTTTGTTACTGGGAACCAGGTGGTTGAGGCCGAGGATCTGGATTGATCCTGTAGGTTTGGGGTTTGGGGCTTCAAAGCGTGCAAGGCCGAGGACCTCGGGCCCCCTGAGCCCTAAACCCTAAACCCTAAACCCTAAACCCTAAACCCTAAACCCTAAACCCTAAACCCTAAACCCTAAACCCTAAACCCTAAACCCTAAACCCTAAACCCTAAACCCCGAAGTCCTCGGGTTTTGGGCATCCCAGAACCCCCCACCCAAACTCCTGCCAAGCTGTGCTTTTGGCTATCTGGGAAGGCCCCCAGTGGCAGCTGTGGTCCTACGAGAGGGAGATGACGGAGGACACGCCTTCAGGGTCTTTAGGGTTTAGTGTCTTTAATGCTACTTTAACACCCTAAACCCTACACCCTACACCCTAAACCCTAAACAAGCAGCCCAGTTGTGGATAGCATCCTCAGAGCAACGAATCGATCTTCCCATTGGCTCCAAAACCCTTCAAGCCATGAGCCCGAAATCCTGAGGACCCGAAACCTTCCGCAAGGGTTTAGGGTTTAGGGTTGAGCCTGCACCGGGGCCTTGCAACACAAAGTAGCGGACCCTGCACGATCATGCTGTTGCCTTGTGCCAAAACAAGGTTTAGGGTTTTGGGTTTAGGGTTTAGGGTTTAGGGTGTAGGGTGTAGGCGTTTGGGTTTAGGGTTTAGGGTTTAGGGTTTAGGGTTTAGGGTTTAGGGTTTAGGGTTTAGGGTTTAGGGTTTAGGGCTAAGGGTTTCGGAAGCCAAAGAGTATTGCCAAGTTAGCAATGTTGCGCGGCTCTGTCCTTTGCACTGTAATGTGCACTGCACCAAAGGAACATTGTAGCTCAACAGGCCCCTATAAGCCTCGCCTTTAACCCTAAACCCTGTCAAGCCCTAGACCCTAAACCCTAGACCCTAGACCCTAAACCCTAAACCCTAAACCCTAAACCCCCTTTTCAGGAGGAGATCTTGGAGCAGTGGCAGCAGTGTGGCCAGGACGCTGCCGAGCGCGGAACTGCCCGGTGCTCAGCAAGCGCACGCCCCAGAACCCGCGCCTCCTCGATGCCATGAACCCCGAAGTCCCTGAAAGTCCCTAAAAGTGCCTAAGAGTGTCTAAAAGTGCCGAAAAGTCCCGAAAAGTCCCTAAAAGTCCCTAAAAGTCCCTAAGAGTGCCTAAAAAAGGTCACTGAAAAGTCCCTACTAAGAAGTCCCGTCCCCCAAAAGTCCCTACTGAGGGTCCGCCAAATGCCCTAAACCCTAAACCCTAAACCCTAAACCCTAAACCCTAAACCCTAAACCCTAAACCCTAAACCCTAAACCCTAAACCCTAAACCCTAAACCCTAAACCCTAAACCCTAAACCCTAAACCCTAAACCCTAAACCCTAAAGTTGCTGAACAATCAACCCGAGGCTCCCAGGCTGGGCATTCAAGGGATGCTGGGCCCGAGCCACCCCACCATAATCACTTCTTGTCCATAATCTGAAGCCACTTTCGGTTTAGGGTTTAGGGTTTAGGGGTTAGGGTTTAGGGTTTAGGGTTTAGGGCTACTAGGACCCAGAGTAGGCCCTTATTCCCTTTTTTTAAGGGTTTGGGTTCCCTTGCAGCCCCCTTTAAACCAAAAAGGGCACTCGTTTTTTTCCTAGGTTCTTCCCGGGTCTAGCCCCTTGTCCCTAATCTGAAGCCCCTAAACCTGAACCACCCTTTTGTCCAAGAGAAGGCCTCCCCCAAAATGGCTTGAGGCTTGCTTGGGGCTCCGCTTTAGGTGTTTTGTGTAGTTAAGGTGTGGGTTGGTAGTCAAGGATTCCGGCAATGCAATGCAGGAGGCGCACTACCAGATTGAGCTGTGGCTCAACCGGGATGGCTGTCGCTCGGAGGACATATCCCGAAACCCTAACCTGGGTTGTGCTTTGGGATAATTTTAAATTTCACTTCTTTCCTTATAAGGGAACCTATTCATAAATAATTTTCAAAGGGTTTAAAGCACAACCCAGTAACTCTCCAGGTGCTTACATTTTGGGCTTCAGGACGTTGGGGCCGAAAGCCTAGGGCTTAGGGATAGGGTTGAGGGCTTCTGGTACTTAAATCTGATCCGTTCCCCTGCTTTTTTCGGGTTCTGAAGTGTAGGCCCATGCGAAGGGGAGGGACTCATCCTTGATCATGCCCTACCTCGAGTCTTGCAACATATTGCTCCTTTTTGGGTGCCTAGCTTTCCCCGTCCCCATTGTGGGATTCTTCTACTTTATAGATGCCCTGAATGCATGGCTTCATCGAATAATTGTGAAAGGGGCCACAATCAAGAACGACTTCTTTTGGGCTCGAGACCCCTGGAGGGCCCCAACAAAACCGCACCCTAAACCGTGACGACGAAGACTCTGAACTTTGGGGAGGGGGGGGGGGGGAGTTAGGGTTTAGGGTTCAGGGGGGTGGGACATATTCATTCATAGTGCAATGACAAACGTAAGGAGACCTTCAGGATCGCTGGGAATCGGGACCCGCAACCTCGAAGCCCCCTCCACTTGCCCTAAACCCTAAACCCTAAACCCTAAACCCTAAACCCTAAACCCTAAACCCTAAACCCTGAAGCCCTCAAACCCCCAAAAGCACTTCCAGCGCTGGAACCCTAAAGCCGAAACCCTAAACCCTTAAGCAACCCCAGCCCTAAAAACCCCAAGAAGCCCTAAAACCCTAAACCCAAATGTTGATTGCACCCGACCTCGTCCAGGACCCTTTGTCGCCGACTTGTGCAGGACATGGCCCGAAGGAGGGGCCGAAAACGTTGTGGCCAGAGTGCCACCATGTCATATCACGTCAGGAGGTGCATGATCAACATGTAAAGCAGAGATCATTCGCACTATCCAACAAAGCATGTGCAGAGCACAAGCAGACATTCGCAGAGACATGTTGTTCGCCGCTTTGAATGTGAAAAGAGTCCGAAACTCGACACCATGGCCGCCTCGCAATCTGCTGACACCCCATTCCAACCTGCTGCTCGTCAGCAGGTTATGAGCCCAAGCCTGCGGCTCCCCGGAGAAGATCGACAAGGACCTGCGTATGGTCGAATACACGAGCAGAGGTTGGATGGTGGTGCACCAATGGTCAATGGTTATGGTTCAGTGCCAGTGACATCTGCAGGGCATGGCGTGCTGGATTCATCAGTGCATGTGAGTTCAGGGGCTGTACCCATGGAGCAATCAGTGCATGCGGGTTTGTCAGTCCCTGTGAGTGGGGCTGTACCCGTGGAGCAATCAGCGCCTGTGGATGCATCAGCGCCTGCGAGTCACTCAGTGCCTGCGAATACATCAGCGCCTGCGAGTCACTCAGTGCCTGCGAATACACCTGAGAATGTGTCAGTGCCTGCGAATGCATCAGTGCTTGTGAATTCTGGGCCTGGCGTAGCCCCTGGATATGGTGCAAGCATGGATGGTGGGACTGAGTCAGCCATTGCATATAGAGGTGGGCCTATGGTGGATATGGAGGGACAATGGCATCTTTATCCCTCACCACTGCAGTCTCCTGTGTCTGAGCAGGAGAATCGTCAGACCGTGGAAAGCACACGAGCTGGCCGAGCAGCTCATTGGTTTGGCCGACTTGGAGATTTCTTCCAGCAGCGGAGGGTGGAGGTTCACACTGCCTGGAGTCCGGGAAGACAAATCGCAGAGAATCCGTGGCTGAGACCACGAACGGCGCTGCAAGGAGGTGGATGGGCTGGAGAGACCGTTCGCAGCCCCGATCGACCCGTGACGCCACCTTCGAGTGGCTCTGGAGGTGTTCCTCAGGAGTTGGTGCAAGCGGAGGTATCTCGGCAACTGGAAGTCGCGATGGGCGACATGTATGGTGGTGTGATGGAACGCATTGCTGAGGAGAGAAAAAAGGCCGAGGAGGCAATGCTGGAGTCGCAGCGACTGCGGGATCAACTCCGAGAAGTGGAGGCGATGGTGGCGGAAAAAGAAGGAGAGGCTCAACGAGCAGTTCCACGAGGTCAATCTGCACCTGATCCGTCGTCGTTACCAAGAGTGACTGTCCAGAACCTACTTGCTCCTCGCACTGAAATGGATGTTGGAACTAGTGGTCCAGGCATGGCAACCGGACCGCCGGCGGGAGGTCCATATATAGATTTTGGACTGGCTCAGCCAGCAGTTCCACGAGGTCAATCTGCACCTGATCCGTCGTCGTTACCTGGTCCCAGCGTTAGAGCTGGGTGTATGGAGCAACCGAGGTCGGCGTCGTTGGAACCCGAGCGTGGAGCTAAGGGGTTTTTGCAGAGCCTCTTTGGAATCGGTCACCAGCCTAGAGCAGAAAGGGCTGAATCCGGTCCACGACAGCATCCACCTTTACGTGCAGGAGGAGGTCAATCTTCGTCAACGCCAGGCAACGAGCAAGTCCTGACTGCGATGGCCAGGGGTATAGAGTCGCTCCTACAACAACAGCAATCTCAAGGCGCTCGGGGTGAAAAGCCCGAAACCGTGAAGCCTGGAATATCAGCTCTACCTGACCTACCACCATACACACCAAGCACGGGAAGCATCGATTTGCTGAACTGGATCACGCACATCACACCCATCATGGAGGACCTGAGCGATAGTTCGAGCCAGTGGTGGATGACAACATTGCAAGATGTGACTGAATGGTACAGCCGCTTCTCGGTTTCTACACCCTTGGAGAAGATCAAGTTGAAGCCGGCAGCAACCGCTGTGAGCAAGCCTGAATGGAGTCGAGTGGAAAGGCGCGCAACGGCGATGGTTCTGGGAGCCATTCCATCGAATGTTCGGGAGGAGGCCATTGCGATGGGCGATGTGCGCACCGTGGGTTTGCTTTGCAAGTTGTTTGCCACCTACCAGCCAGGCAACAGGCAGGAGAAGAACCTGGTGCTGACAAACCTGGAGCATCCTGATGGATGCACAACTGCCTTGGAGGCAGTGGATGCCCTAAGGAAATGGGCTTTGTGGCGGCGTCGTGCTGCTGCCATAGGCATAGCGGAGCCGGATCCGTCGGTTCTCTTGCAGGGGTTGGACAAGATCACTGCTCAAGTGGTGAAGGGCGACACCGAGCTTTCTTTCCGGGTCAGCTTGATCCGAAGCAACTTGCAGGTGGATGTGTGCCCGACTACCACATCAATAACTTCGTTCTTCCAGCACCTGCAGGCCGAGATGGAACAGCAAGCGAGGATTGGGGCAGCCCAAAGGAACCCCGAGGCCACCAACCCTAAGCTTCGAGCCATGACGACTTCGGAGGCTACATCCTCGAATGCACCGTACAATCAGCCCACTCCCAAGAACACCTTGTGCAAGTTCTTCACTGGAGAAAAGGGGTGTCGGAGGGGAAACACATGCAAGTTCCCTCACACGTGGTCGGCCTTGGAGAAGTCCGAAAGATCAAGGAGGTGTTTGGCATGTGGAGCTATTGGTCACAAGGTGAAAGATTGCAAGGCTCCTGGAGGCGGTGCGTTCAAGGGTGGAAAGAAGGGGGAAGGAAAAGGGGACAATCGAGATGATTCATCCTCGGCTACATCTTCGCCTACCAGAAGGGTGGACTTCAAGGAGGTTCCAGAGGTTGTGATGAAGATGATGAAAGTGCTTCGGGAGGTGGCGGATTCCCCGTACTTGAGGCCTTTGATGGCGGCGGTGATGGGGACAAAGGTAGGTGGCGGCAATGAGTCACCTCGGTCAAAGATGGCGCTTATGGATTCGGGTGCCACCCATGCACTACGTCCTCCTCGGGATGACAATGAATGGCATCGCTCGGAACAGGTCAATGTCCTCCTGGCGGGCGACTCTGCTACGATGATGAAGCAGAACTCCAGCGGTACACTTCTGTGCAAAGAAGAGGTGTCGCAGATGATTGTGCCATTGGGAAAGGTGATCGACACTTTGGGTTATCGTCTCCACTGGACGCCGGAGAAGTGTGAGCTTCATGGTGAAGAAGGTGACGTCCTGCCTCTTCGAGTACGTAATGGATGCCCTGAATTGGAGGAGACCACAGCCCAAGCCCTGATCGACTTGCTGGAACAAAAGAATCTGCCCGGTCTTGAGCAGGCCACACTGGAGTCAATGCGGGTGCTTCAGAGCGCTGAGGGCACCTGGTGGTCCTACTTGCTGGATTATGTTACCAGTGGGGAGGTCACTGTCGGAAGGGAGGCGGTGCTTCGTGCCTCGTTCCTGAAGCACAAGGACTTCTTGATGGAGGAGATGATCTTGCGACAGCCCAAAGAGGGGATCTGGGAGCTCATGAAGAAGCTGAAGCTCAATAGGAGGTCGAGGAAAAGACTTATGAGAGCGGCTACTTGGGTCATTCGCTGGGATCCACCGGGATATGAAAGGCGAGCTGATGGTTTGCTGCAGTTGGGGCGGTTGACTGACACCGTCTATGTGAACTTGGGTGCTTGGTTCCAACATAGCGACTTTCGAGAGGCATGGAAGGTGCTGCTATGGGGCGCTATGCAAGGTCGTGTTGGAGCGGTCTTGTCAAAGGACCTGGCAGCCACGCCTACGGAGTTCGAGGCCTATGAACGTCATCGCAGCCAAGTCCATTTGCTCCATGCCTTGTCGACAGCAGGGCACTACTTCAAGGGAAGCATGGTCCCAAAGTTCCTGGTGGAGAGGAGGAGATTTACCACAGCGGAGAAGCCCGGCATCATGTGGATTGATGATGGATGTGCAAAAACATATCTGGATGAAGTGGGCATCCTGGATCCTATGGTCCAAGAAGATCAGAGTGTGGAAATCGTCGCCGGGATCATGGGCATCGTTCGTGGTGATGGTACTGGGCGTCTGAGGCTTGCCAAGCTTTCGACAGATGCAGCCTGGCGGTTGCATGTTATGAGGAACCACCAGCCCTTTAGGAGGGATGGTGCTGTATGCGTGAGAAACGCAGCGAC